CTGAGCCTCCTGGGTCAAGGATGACCCATCAGCCTCGATATTATGGATGTACGACTTAGCACGCTTCTGCCTAACGTAGCCCTGGAAGAACCTAGTGTTCCGCTCGCCCTCGGCCACCCAGCGAACGGCCGCCTTCTGCTTCCAGAAGTCCTCCTCCATAAGGAGTCGGAGCTGGTACTCGGCGTGGCAGCGGTGCATGGCGGTCCTATTCTCCGGAGTGGGATCCAGGTCATAGGCCCGCTCAGCCGACGCATGCGCACTCTGAGCTGCAGTAAGGCGGGGATGAAGGTTTCCAAAAACATCTCAGTTCCACTGTCTCAACCGACGCCGCAGTCTGTCGAGCTTCGCCTCGAGATTGTTCATCCCGAAGAGCCCAGTCGGCTGAAGCCAGGAATCCCTGACAGTGTCGTGGAAGGAGTGGTGGCGAACCCACATGTTTTGGAACCTGAAGGAAGCGCGGCGAGGAGTGCTCGAAAAACGACATCTAATGAGGAGGGGTGAATGGCCAGACCCAAATCGAGTGAGGTGCGTGACGGTCGTGACCGCAAACACCTTCGACCACGCTTCAGAACTCAAAGCACGGTCGAGCCTCTCCTTGAGGTTGTCCCTAACCCACGTGAAGGGCTCACCCTCGCATCCAGCATCAAGCAACTCACAGTCCGCCACAATATGCGCAAAATCCCACATCTCTCGGGATCGGTCCGTGCGGCCACCCACGCGCTCATCGGGGTGCAAAAAGATGTTGAAATCGCCACTAACCATCCATGGCAATCCCTCCATACTCTCGGCAATCTCACGCAGGGTGTCCCAAAGATCATATCGCCCGACCCTAGTACACTTGGCATAAACCAAGGTGTGAAAGATGGGCTCCGGGAGATGGGCAGCGGAGATCTCTATGTGAAGCACCTGATCGGTGTCGCGGAGGACCCGACAAGTGTAGTCAGGCGAGTGGAAGAAGAAGATCTTGTGCGAAATATTACCCACGCCCGAATGGAAGCCCAGACGACGCGAGTAGTAGTCAAAAGAAGGAGTGCGAATCATCGGCTCAATAAAGCCAACAATATCGACTCTGTGGTCACGAATGAGAGAATGAAGATGAGAAAGAGTAGCCCTGTTCGCCAGGCCACGGCCATTCCAAGTAATGGATGTGATGGACATATCAACGGTCGCAAGAGCCACCGGACTTAGTCCGCCTATGGCGAGGCTGATTCGGGCCACCTAAAGAATGTGAAATCGTCCGTCGTGTCGAGCGGCGGAAGGGTCCAATAGCAGGGGAGATCGTCCGCCGTCTCGTATGCTGCATGGCTCTGGTCCTCGAGGTCTGTCTGCCTCGGTATGTACTCGTAGCCTGTGAGTCGTCTGGCTGGGCAGACTGACCAATAGCAGCATCAGCGGGTTGTCCCATCTCCGGGGCTGTCTCCCGTCTGTCAAGGTGAAGAAAAGCACTAGAGGCGAAGCTCTCGCATGAGACGTCATGCTGCGCGCGGTTGAGCCCGCATATCTGCTCGGGGATGGGCGAAAGAGAGGGTCCAACCGGCAGAGCACTCGGGTGCTCGCCGGTAGGAGGGGGCTGAGAGCTGGCTATCAGCTCGACCGAGCTCCGAGTCTCAGCAGCGGGAGGATGGGTCGGCTCATCCCCTTTCGGGGGAGCGGAGGCGGCAGTAGCCCTCAATTCCGAAGATCGGACCGGGCTAGATGCGCGCACGGTCGAAGGACCGGCATCGCGTACACTATCATCGGATAGATGGATGGACTCTCTCCTGGGCGTGCCGTCCGGCTGGTCCATGTCGTCTCCAGGGAGGTCATCGTCATCCAGAAGCGTAAGATCAGTAATCTTAGGTGGCCTGCTGGAGGAAGGAACAGACTCCTTCTCTGCCTCAGGGGAAAGAATAGCAAAGTAGGAATGGTTGGCCTTGAAGGCCGTCTGTCAGGTCTGTCTAGGGAGAAAGCCCGTGGACTTGGGTTTGGGACCCACTAAGGCCAACTGCTTAGGCTGGTCAGGATGAGCATCCTTCCCAGTTTGGGCAGCATCGACAATCACAGCCTTGCCCTTATCCTGAGACCCCTTCGGGGTCTCGGGCACGCGGACGGGGCTTTTGCCCTTTCCCTTGGAGTCCCTCCGGCTGGTGGAGGGCCCCCGCTGAGTCGCGCGGTGGCGCTGCGGGATAGCGGGACGTGGCTTATTGCCACTGATGTAGCAATCGGCCGCAACATGTCCCACGTGGCTGCACGAGGTGCAGAAAGCGGGGATCTTCTCATAGATCACCCGCTGAATAAGAGACTCCGAGCCCTGTTCAATCTCAATCTCATGAACGAGCTCAGCTCTCAAATCTATCTCGACGCAAAATCGCGCCACGTTAGCCCTCGTCTGGAGGGCCGTCGGGGCGTCGATACGAATCGGCTGCCCAATACACTTAGCTAGTGTAGTGATGGCAGCACGATCATAAAGATGGGGTGGGAGGCTGGGAAGGCGGCACCACACGGGGACAACCGGCGCCTCCGTCTTCGGGTTAAACCCGACATAATATTTGAACACTCTAGCTGGGCATCCACACACATGAATGGAGGTCTTAAGTCAGACCTCGTTATAGTCCTCGGGGAGGTGAAACGAGACTAGAAGGTGGTTGAAATTATACCACTTAGATGACACTCTACCTTTAAAACCCAATTTGCCTAATCCAGCAGATATATCACGAGGAGCAGGGATAGAATATGAAAACTTAAAGACCAGGGTGTTAGCTAGTTTACCTGCAAGAGCGATAGATTCGGCTTCAGTGTATCGGGCTTTCACTTTGTTCCCCTCCGAGCGGATAATGGTCCCGCAAGCATGTTCGTAATTCCCGTCAAAGGTGAAATCCTCCGGTGTTGGTCGCGGTTTGGTCGAGCCGTCATCCCTTTTACCCGTAATGGCCTCTCGAAATGAAAGCGGGCCATTGGGTGCGGCCGAAAGGGGCCCGGCTGTGGCGGGATTAGCCGTTGATGCGACCGTTGGCAATGTCTCGATCGAGGGGGGTACGACGTTTACCCCGGCCGGGGAAGGTAAATTTGGCCGCGGTCCGAGAATGCCGGCTGTGAGGTCCGACTTAGGGTAATTTCTAGCGTGGGCAGCCGGATTTTCCGGTGGTCGGATGGCCTCCGGCATCGCCGCCGGCATGAACGTTGTCCGATGGTTGGGTGTCATGTGAAGCGCTAGGAAGAAGGGATGGTTACTGTCCAATTTTTGGAGAAATGGGTTGCTGGGCGTTTTCGGCGTGAGTGGGCTGGGGACAATTTGATTGTTGAAGGCCCAAAGTTGGGCTTGGGTTTGGAATTGATGTTGTGGAGACGGGTTGGGATTGGGGTGGTGATTGTGTTGTGGGCTGAGGAGGGTTATGGGGGGTAGGGTTCGGCCCAATAAAATGGTGTTTGGCTGGTCCGCAAGGCAGTTGGGTCGGTCTTTTATGGTGTGAATTTGATGGGTCAAAGAGAGATGGAGATGATTTGGGCCTTGGGAGTGGTAGTGGCCCAGATTTGTTTGGGCCGTCCACATGGCTTGAATTGGGATGAGGAGTAGGTTTGGGTCTTGTATCTTTGACCGAGAGATTGCCGTCATTCCTGTTGGCTATTTGCAGGGAACCAAAGCTTTCCAATTGTGGTGCTCCGGCGACGGCAGGACAGGATGACGGTGAAGCGCCGGTCGCCAGTGAGAACGCTATCTTTGCGGCGGAGCTTTCATTTTTTTTGTTGTCGAGCTGCGTGGGGAGGATAGCTGCCAGTGGCGTGTCCTTGGCGGTGGGGAGGGAGACGACGCCGGTCTTGGTCGCGGGGAGGTGGGAGACGACGCCGGTCTTGGTCGCGGGGAGGTTTGGGCCAAAAATTTCCTTTTCCTCTGAAACGGTAGGTGGACTCGAGAATTTGGACAAAAAATTTTGAATCCGCCCGACCTCCGAATTTGAGCTTTTGTCCAGAACAGCCGCGATAATCTGTTGGATTTCAGGAAGCTTGAGGATGCTTAGAATGTTTGGTGGAATGGTGGTCAGATCTTGGGAGGTAGGTTGAATGACTGTTTGATTTGGGGACGCCATATCCGCGAGCTAAGAGGAGGGGAAGTAGAGGTGAGGGAGAAAAGGACCCGGCGGCCAGAGGGCCGGGGCAACCGCCGACGGCGGCCGGTGGGGGTAGGGTAGACGGGCTATAGGCTGAGGTGAGGTGGTAACCGGTGGTATAGGCCGAAGCTGGGATGGAAAAACAGTAGAGAGAGAAAGTTAGAGAGAAGGGAGAGCATTTGCTCCTTTCTTGCTGCTAAGTTGTTGCTAGTTTGTTGTTGCTAGATTAATTATTTGTAGTTGCTAGGTTAGTTGAGTTTTGTTGCTAGGTTAGTTGTCTTTTGTTGCTAGGTTATTTTTTTTCTTGCTGCTAGGTTAGTTGTCTTTTGTTGCTAGGTTAGTTCTTTCTTGTTGCTAGGTTAGTTGTTTTTTGTTGCTAAGTTATTTCTTTCTTGCTGCTAGGTTAGTTGTCTGATGCTAGTTGTTTTTTGTTGCTAGGTTATTTCTTTCTTGCTGCTAGGTTAGTTGTCTGATGCTAGTTGTTTTTAAGTTGCTAGGTTATTTCTTTCTTGCTGCTAGGTTAGTTGTCTTTTGTTGCTAGGTTAGTTCTTTCTTGCTGCTAGGGTAGTTGTCTTTTATTGCTAGATTATTTCATTTTTGCTGCTAGGTTAGTTGTCTTTTCTTGCTAGATTATTTCTTTCTTGCTGCTAGGTTAGTTGTCTGATGCTGCTAGGTTATTTCTTTCTTGCTGCTAGGTTAGTTTTCTGATGCTGCTAGGTTAGTTGTGTTTTGCTGCTAGGTTAGTTGTTTGATGGTGCTAGGTTAGTTGTGTTTTGTTGCTAGGTTAGTTGTCTGATGTTGCTAAGTTAGTTGTATTTTTTTTCTTTAAAAAAATTGTAACCCATAGGATTTGAACCTGGTTATTTCTTTCTTGCTGCTAGGTTAATTTTCTGTTGCTGCTAGGTTAGTTGTCTGATGCTGCTAGGTTAGTTGTGTTTTGTTGCTAGGTTAGTTGTCTGATGTTGCTAAGTTAGTTGTATTTTTTTTTTATAAAAAAATTGTAACCCATAGGATTTGAACCTGGTACCTCATGGAAGCAAGACAAGCAATGCAACCACTACACCACTCAAGGTTGATTTTTTTTTGTTGCTAGGTTATTTATTTCAATGCAACGGGTCAACGCCGGAAGTCAACGGTCAACGCCGAAAGTCAACGGTCAACGCCGGAGTCAACGATCAACTTCGGAGTCAACTAATAATTATTTTATTATTTAATTAATATATATTTTAATTGATTTTGATCTAGACAAAATGAGTGGCTAGGATTGAGTCTCACGTACTCATTTTAAGAAGTGGTCTCATTGGATCCATCCCCTATATATATATATAT